TAAATTAAACAAATTGGTTCCCATCCTCACCCCTTTACCAAAATAATTTACTAATGCTTAAGAAGCAAGCAGGTAAAAGGCTAGGATGTCATTACAGCCCATATATCAACTCAGTCAGCAATAAATCTCCCCCTACTCTCCATACTACTTTCTTAAATAGCTCACTATAAAGCCCCAACCTAATTAAAAACAGCTTTCTCGGCAACAGTGGCCTTGATTTCACTTATTTACACATTAACTGCAGCCTCCATTTGGCCAATCCAGTCTATTCCCTGTACCATGCAGGGCTTTTTATCTGCCCTGGACAGCATTTTCTCCAGCAGATGAAGTAGATGCCGATTGATTTGCTGTCGAGCATGGTAAATTAATAGCAACAAATTGCTGAGGGCCCCATCTCGCTGCTCCACCATGCTTCGGCAGTTTTGCTTTATTTGCTCCATGATGGGCAGCAGTCAAGCCTCTTCAAGTCAATTTCTTCTCAACAACCTGCAATACTTTTCAATGGTGAAAATAGAGCTATTCCTTGTAAGACAGAAATCAATATCCTATTGCCCTTAGAAAATGCTTAACAAGCAGTATTGGCAATCCACTTGGTACTAGAGGGTATCAGATATAATGCAAATCCATACTGCTTCCCTCCTCGTAGTTATTACAGTTTGCTAAAAGGTTCCTAATGCCATTTATCATCATTTACTATCGACTACTGCAGCTATGATTATGACATCCTATCAGCTAGCAGAGCCCTTCCATTTCTATCCAATTAATATTTTAGCAGCACTCAAATGGTTGCTGACCAAGTCTTGTAATAAAATTTACATGGATTGGACTGATTTTTTTTCTGTGATCTTAAAAAGTCATTTCATTTATTTTTTAATACCCAGCTTCTTGAAAGACTTAAATTTTCTTTCAAAAAATGCTGAAATCTGACATTCTAGCACGTGAATTAGTTCAAAGATGAAGGTCTAGCCAAAAGGTATGAATCAGAATTTATGTATTGACAGCTTTAAAACACATAGTCAAAGGTGAATACTATATCTTATTTATGCTTTCCATTAGTTCCATTCACAAATATCTGTTGTCTGTAGCCAAATATGGACACTTATTTTAAGCGATGATTACAGTTTTGATTTAAAACATTCAGCAAGCATATCGGATTACAGCAATTTAAATAAACTGTTTACCATAACATTAAAAGTCTAATTTCAGAAATTAAACTAAATGACCACCACCAAGTACCAACAGTATATTAGAAACACAGAGCAACACGTCAACTATTCATTCATAAACTACTGGCTGAGCCTCTTAAAAAGAGATGTTAAAAAAGCAACTTAGTAAGAAATGGACATCTTTAGACACACTCAAACATTATTATGGCATTGAAATTTAAAATTGTAGGGACATATCTGATCATACTCAACCCAAAATCCCTAAGTCAATGCCTTTTTTTCTGGAGTGTGTCCACTTTGAAGCTCTATTGATCATAATACAGAATATCGAAAATCAGCTTAGTATTTTGGGCTACAACACCATATGTGACAGCTTACCCTACACTCATCTTTAAAAAAAAAAAATTACTAATTTTACCAGTCTAATGCTATTTACTCAGTTACCAAAATTTAAATTAATTATGTTCTCAAACATAATTGTTAAAAATTGGCAACATTATGCAGGCTTAATTAAGATTAAATCCAATTTACTAAATGTACTTTAATTGGTACTAATTACATTAGCTTTCCTTTCAGAATGACAAATTCCCCATAGGTTTCACTTTAATAGTCTTCTATCAAAATCAACACAGGATGACTGATGATGAGCATCACACAAGCGGCGGGGAAAAGAGATGCTCTTCCCCCTCGCCCTGCTCCCAGACACACAAGCACACTCACTACCACTGCTTTCTGCACGTTTATCCTTCTATCAATTTGCTAAGTCACAGAGTCATGACTCCATCACACATCATTTTCTGTTCCAGTGAAAAATTTCTCTAAAAATAAATACTCTGTGGCTGGGAGCAGCCAAGAAGAACAGAAGCTGTAACAGAAAAATACACAAAGGTTTCAAATATCAGGGCCACCAATTACTACGGTACTTCCAAGGACTCCAGGGAGTCCTGCTCTTGAACCCTTTGAGACGCAAATCTAATAAGTGAATAAGCCTAACCTGATCTTGAGAACTAGGCCCAATTACGCCGAAGGGCAACTTCACTGCATTATTGCCTGCTTTCCATTACAAGGGCATCAAGCAAGTACATCTGGAAAAGAACCTGAGAGGAACCAAGGCTGTCTGCCCAGAAAAACAAATAAAGACAGATATGCCTCTGTGCTAAACTGAAAAAAAGAGAAAGAAAATATAATAAGTAGGTGGTTTGCAGGCTGTCTGTATTTCATAATGTGATAAACTGCCCTCAGGATTTTTTATGTGATTGAATTTAGAAAGATGGGGGGGAGGGAAGGGGAGAAGGGAAAAAAAAAGGGTGAACCACTCAATTTCAGCTGAGTTAAATTCAAAGATGGGAGAGGAAGAAAAGGGAATTTAAGGTGGTAGACTAAAAAATCTTTGTACACATTAAATGAAGCAATCAATGCTATCTATACAAATACCAAATTGCACCCTAATGCTGTGATAATAAAGCAAGATGGAAAATATTTTGCAGTTGCTGAGGCAAGAGGAGAAAGGAAAAACACAATGCTCTGGCAATAGAGGGGGAGACATGAAAGACAGGAAATTGGTATTAGATTTAAGAATGAGAGAAATTTTCTTAGCCGTAACTAATTTAAATCTACATCTGACAAAATATTTCAGTGTTTTGCACAAGAGTACAATAGTTAAAACTACTAATTTGAATAGACTGAATGCTGATGAAAAAAGGCATTTAATTAAAACTCAGTCCTTTGTAATCTCCACACTTAGTTGTCACTAAGTATTTAATTTTGGTACAGTATCAACGACGAGTCCATCACCATAGCTATATAAAATTTCTGAAGTAAAACATTTAGAAATTAAAAAGGCTTTTGCTGTGGGTTTTTTCCCTCGCTTAATACAATTTCATTACACATTGCCCTTGCGAGCTGATTTTTGTTGCACAGAATTTTGTGCAGTCAGTGTAAGTGTACCTACAACTAAGCGCTGTAAAAACAGGGTATCTGGAAATATAAACAAGTTTGACTGCAATGCTTGCTTTCAAATGCCGGTAAGAATTTGCTACTTAGGTGGCCTGTAAAGACTCCAGTCTTTGTGAATTGTTTCCATATCTACAACTTTACTGAATGGAGGTTTGTTTGGTTCTGGTTTTGTTTTCTTTTTTTTTTTTTAATTTGGATTTCAAATAATCTGAATATTCTTTTAAGAACAGACCCAACACCTCTGAGAGTCAATCACCAGCCTTGCCGCCTGCATTCATTACATGAATCAGGTCCAGAAAGTCACCAGATACATAAAATCTGATCAGCTGCAATCACAGCCTTTTCCTGTCAACCATTTGTTAAACACATTTGTTGAGTCTTCGTGGTACCTGTGAGAAGGACTCATAGAGGAATTCAAAAGGTCTACATATATGTCTGTAAAATAAGTTGTATGAACAAGGTCCCATAAGCTGCAAGATGCTTTGAGGCAGGAAATCCCACAGTCTTTGTATTTGTATGTCATCTAGCATAAATGATCGCAATAATTTCTGAAGCACTGGGATGCTGATAGAATACAAAATTTAATAAACAACATGAAAAAACTTTTGACTTCTATGTCTGCTTCCAACAGGACAAAGAAATCCTATTTTCACAACCCAGAGAAGTTCCAAATCCCTAACTCTGAATAGACGCATACAAAACAATTTTAAGGTGGTCTTTCTTCTCCCATCCAATCATTTATTTCTGCAGTTTACATTCCCCAGTAACCCCTGACAAAATGCTCAATCACTTGCTAAAATGAGTTGTCAGTATTAAACTCTACAATATAAAAAGTTCCCTTACTGGAAAAGAGGTCAGATGTTTAATTTATTCTCCTCTAGAGAAGGCTGAAAAACACATACTGCTGAATAAGAAACTCTAATTTACACTACCATGCTCCAGCTGACTAATCTCTTGCTAATCTTGGCCTAAGTGCTACAGTTCAAGGCATAAAACCCATTGCAGCCTTCAAGTACCTAAAGGGTGCCCACAAGAGAGCTGTAGAGGGTCTTTGACATGTAGGGATAGGACAAAGGGGAATGGCTTCAAACGAAAAGAGGATAGCTTTAGTTTAAATATTAGGAAGAAATTCTTTACTGTGAGGGTTGTGAGGCACTGGAAGGTTGAGCTCCACCCTTAGCAGCATTCAAGGCCAGGCTGGATGGGGCTTTAAGTAACCTGCTCTAGTGGATGTCCCTACCCATGGGGTAGGGTGGAACCAGAATACATTTAAGGTCCCCTCCAACACAAACCAATCTATAATTCCATGCTAACACCCTTGCAGAAAGCTCATTTAACCTTTTGTGTTTGAGATGATAAGACACTGGTTTTGGACAAAAGTCCAAGTAAGCAGCCTGAGGGAAACATGAACATGGTTGTGCATCACATGCATTTGTAGCTCCATCTTAAGTCAGTCTAGGTTAACCAAAAAGAACAGGCTTTTCCACATGCATTCCTTTTCCCAATACACACTCATGATGTAGTTATCTCTCAAAAAGTAAACCCCAAAGGTTTGAGGCCAGACAAAAATGAAGATACAACCAAAAACCCATCCCTACTCACATACGCCCTCCCTGTGCAGTATAAGATCACCTGCATGTGTAAAATCTACATGTGGAAAAAAACCAAACAATGCACAACTGGCAACCCAGACGGTAACCTACGCAGCCTGTATACCATACATGAGATGGAAGATTCAGGGCCAAGTAAAGAACAAAAAAAATTCCAATGCACTCAAGTATGCAATTAAAGCAAGTCACACAGAATACACATCTCTGTTAAGACTGATAAGAGAAATTACACAGAGTATTCTTACAACAGAATAAATTATCTACCTACCTGTTTATGCATCTCTATATTCAGCCCATAGGACATCTCGTAATACTAAGAAAAAAGAAAATTACTCTATTAGACTTTGCAATTCTGAAAGCTATTCTGAAATTCACTTTGACTGAAACATCTGTACAAAGACATACAGACTTAAAAACACTTATTTGCCTTGAAGAGTTCCTGGAATTGGAAAGAGCATATTTCAGAGTAAACTTTTTTTTTTTTTGCTTTATCTACAGTGCTTCATGTCAGATTTACAAAGAACAGCCACAAAACAAGGCAAAAACAGACAACGAAAATATCACAAAAAGTAATCATAACCAGAGTCAAACATTAGAAGCAGAAAATGCTTACGCTTTTATTCCCTAGCACACATAAAAGATGCCAAAAAAACAGACAAAGTGCTTCAAGCGTATAAACATCTAAATCAGCAGTGTCTAACAGACCAATTATTCACTATTTTAAATTAAAAATGAACACAAAAAAACCCTGCAATTAAATTACAGGGATAAAAAAAAATGAAAGTACATCCTGTTGTGCCTGAGTACTGCGGCAAACTCTGTTCAGTGCGTTAATACCAAACAATCTCCAAGATTTAGGCATGTCGGGCATTAAAAAGACAACTGCGAGCCTTAACATTAGCATGTGCTCATGGTTAAGATTTTTTCAAGGTTATTTAGGCTTTTTGTGAATACAAGAGTAATACTTGTGCATACAGAAAACGGCTAATCTTTCATAGATGTACAACAGAAGAGACAGTAAGAGCTCCTCTGTAGCTATCAGGATCCATCAAGCAATTATGTATTTAGACATGCATGTTATTTAACCAAGCAGACCACAACCACTGAGGAAATCCCTTTCACAGCTGAGGTCCCAGACATTCTCAATGTAGTGAAACGCTGATTCGGCTGCCTAAGTGCAACAGTTCTTCTAGGAAGTAGGCTTTGGATTTGTATACATTCATGTACAATTTTGGTTTACGCCCATCATAGAAAAAAATATTATCCTGAATGAACCGTTTTACAGAGATATGATCATTGGGAGAGATCAGCAAAAGTGAAAACATCATCCCCACATACACTACGGAAGTTGTATGTGGCTTTAAAGGGCCGACAAGTAATTTGCTAGCATTTGGAAGAAATGCCCTCAACTGCTTAAAAGCTGGTTTCACGCAGATACTAACCACTGCAAACAAGTTAAAAGACCCCAGAAACTAAGGATTTACAATGTAAGCACTGATGCAACCTCAACAACAGCAGTGCTACTACAATCTTCCTGTTCGCCTCCAGCAATCCGAATGTATGTCAGTCTCAGTATACCAAGCTAACAGACATTTAGAATTTGTTATGCAGCTTGCTTACCATGACATAATGTCGCTGCATCTCTGTCTTCTCACTGGCCAGTTTTTCACATTCTAGCTTTAAACTGTTAAAGACACAAAAAGTAAAAATCATGGATACTTCATGACAGTAAACTGACATTCCCCTGAGCGCAGGCTACCCCCTTTTTCACACATTTCTCCAATATAGAAATATAAATGTATATTCCAGCTCTTGCTTGGGATATCAGAGTAAGGGTTTGCAATTTTCCATTTTCAAGCAATACTGTGCAACTTCCTCATCTCCTAAAAGAACTGCATGTCTATGTGTGCATACATAGGAGAGTATTTTTCTGACATTAAAAAACTGACCACCGACACGAGTTCACAGAAGAAGCATGCCTATCTCTAACACTCAGTAGCTTGAGAAGCTACTAATGAAAACATAATTTAGGTTTCAGAGTTTTTATTTGAAAGAGTTTTAGAATTTCACTCGACCCATAGAAGAATCAAATGCATATCACCACTTCAAGAAGCACAAAGGTGTGGATTTTAATTTTGCTTTTTGCTATTACTGGTGAGAGAACTACAAATAAAATACAGCAGGTAATTTAAGAATACCGTGGTAAACACTAACACCTCCACTGTTTATTTTGTTTTCAGAAGCCCGTTAAGCAATTCTGCCAAAAGCCACTTGTCACTTTGAGGACACAGCGCTGTTCCACCTAAGGATAATGAAACAGCTCGCCGCCCCACTTCCAGGTTATCAGCACTTGACATGTCAATGAAAGGCGCGAGGGGGCCGAGCCAAGACAAGATGCGTGTCCTGAGCGGCATTTCGAAAAAAAGCAGAGGACGAGCCCAGCCAGCCACATATTTTTCTGTCAACACCCACTCACTCCCCGCAAGC